AGGGCCCTTTAGTAGCACAGGGGAGGCTCCTGAGGTGCAGAGACAGGAAGGAGTTTACCCCAAGTCACATAGCAGTTGGAGGCAGAATAGTGGCTGAACTCCAGGCCAACCCTGTGGCCCAATTCTGCTGTGCAAGGGTGGTAGGAAGGGCACTGAGCCTCTCTCCAGGTGGAGACACAAAGGTGAGGTGAGGACAGCTGAGGGGCAGTGCAGCTCCGTGGGGGCAGGGTGGGGGTGGTCGGTTGCATGCTGGTAAGCAGATCGCAGGTGGGGGCGGGGAGAAGGCCTGCATTGTAGCCTATTTCAGTGGCATAAGTATTCCCACCACTGTCAAGTGCAAGCTACCAGTGCTTTGTCAACTGGCTCACAACATTCCTGGATATTTAACAGTTAGCTCTCCTGAATCAGTGCTAGCTGGCTCCAGCACTCCTCTGATGGGATGTACTGGTGGGAGGTCCCCAGACTCTCTCTGGGCCCCATCAGGCCCACTCAAGTCAATTTATAGTGACAGCCTCTGGCCACCAGAGGACTCCACACCCATGGCCATAGATGTGCAGTGCTCCATATACAGAGGGCGCTCTGAGGCTCAGAGAGGGGTGAGACCTTGCTGTGGTCACACAGCATATCTACTGTCCCACAAAGAGTCACTACTACCCTCTCCTGACGCCTGAAGACCTCTGTGCCAAATAACTTGTCCTCCCTATGTTTTCCTCATCTCTCCACAATGCCTTGGCCATGGACAGGAATCACACCATCATTCTATCCCAGGCCACCCGAGGGACATAGAAGGACTCCTGGGCACAAGAGAAGGGTGACAGCCCACCCTCTGGGGTCGCTCAGTGTTGCTACCTAAATTCCAAGGGGAAGCTCTGGGCTGGTGACCAGAGTTCACATCCTGATTCCCACCCAGCTCACTGTGGGACCTTGGGCCAGTCCATTGTCATCAGTGGCCTTTGGCCCATGTGGTGTGGGGTGCCACAGGGCAGGTGGCACCTGCCCTACCACATGATAGGTGCCGTGAAATATCTCAGCCCAAGCAGGTCTCTTCAGGGTAAAAGAAGCTTGCAACGCCTCGGACAAGGTGTTGGTGTGGACATTTTCTATTCTAGTGGGTGGCTCAGGGCAGGGCCACAGTCAGGAGGGCTGAGGGTGGACAGGGTGGGGCAGACTCACCTCCCAGAGCGAGCCTTCCTCTTGAAGCACAGCCACCAGCATGCCAGCTGGGATCATGAGGCAGGACAGCAGGCCCATGAGGATACCCAGCAGCTCGGCCCAGGCAGGGAAGCGGTAGCTGCCATACTCTGAGGGCTGGTACTTGACGATGCTGTACACCAGCAGAGCCTGCAGAGTGGGGGGACTCCCAGCATCACAGTGGGCCTCAGATGGGCCCCAGGGCTTGGGATAGCCCAGATCTGAGATACCTTAAGGCTTGAGATAGCCCAGGCCCATCCCAAGGACTGAGAGTCCCGTCCAGAGCCACCCAGTGTGCTAAGCTCTACCAGAACCTGAGATAGCCCATCCTGGGAGGCTTTGCAAGGCTTGAGCTAGCCCAGCTCCAAGCTGACCCAATACCAAGACCTGCAACAGCCCAGCTTTGAAGTACCCTAATCCTGAGATGGCCTGTCCCTGAGCTGCTCCAACCCCAAGACTGAGAAAGCATAGCCTCAAGGCCCCAGCCCTGAGGCCTGGGAAAGCCCCACGCATTTTGCCAACCAAAAGCAGGGCTGGGCCCAACACAGCTTCTGAAGCTGGGGCATCAAGAGGGAGGGGAGTGGACCAGGATCCAGGTGCCCACCTCACAGCCCTGACAGAGGCCCCACTCTGGGCCAGGATGGCCCTACCAGACTAAATGTGCAGAAGGGACCTCTGCTGCCAGCGTTGAGGCCCCAGCCAGCAATCCTCCCTCCCACACCTACTTACCAGGAGCGTGGCCGGGGACAGGAACAGCCAGCAGGCCCTGAAGTAGAGGCCCGGCTTGAAACCCAGCATCATGTGGATGTCTCGGCAGAACCTCCGGATACCTGTATGGGGGAGGGGAGTGAGAATGGCCTCACTCACAGGCTCTGCAAGCGCCAGCAGCCCCTCCTCCAACCCAACTGCCCCATCAGAAACCCTGGCCCTTGGGACCAGAGACCCAGGTGCACGGGGGCTTCAAGGTAGATTCCCATTCTCCCACTGCGGGGAGCCTCGACTTCCCCCCCACCGGCCCTTCTCACCATACACCCGGGTAACGGCGAGGCACGTGGTGATCACCACCACCATTAGCCCGAAGCTAGCGCTGTAGTCATCCAGAAGGACCAGCCAGTACATGCCCCCCTAGAACACAAGTCACAGCGCTGAGGTACCCTCTCCCAGCCTCGCTGTCTGCTGCAGCTCCCTACTCAGATGCTGTCTGCTCCTGCCGTCCTCCTGCAGCCTTATGAACACTCACCTCGGTGGTGAGGATCAGCCCCATCAGGTACATGGCCACGCAGATGAGCCCCGAGAACACCACCTTCTTGGGCCTCAGGTAGTATGGGAACTCATCTGTCACAGCTGTCACAATGGTCTCCAGAAAAGCAAACTGTGGAGGAGAAGAGGGTTGGGGTCAGAGTTCTGCTCCCTCTTCCCCCATGAGGTACACACTACTGTGGACAGGGCTCACCTGGCTGTCCAAGCCGAGAGTCAGAAGCATGAAGAAAAACAGGAAGGACCAGAAGGGCGACAGAGGCAGCATGGTCATGGCCTGCGGGTAGACAACAAAGGCCAGGCCGGGGCCTGGGCCAAGGGCACAGGGGGTCAGCAGCTTGCAGCATGTGGTGGGCCCTGATATACATACTCAGACACAAATGGTCGCTTACACCCACTTGGGCACACTCATTTAGCCAAACGTAAAGGTGCATGCTAAATGCACACTTCTGACACTCTGACTTCTGAGACTGAGGCTCGAGAAGTTGTAGGACCTAACTCCCAGGACACAGGCCAGCACTCTGTAGGTGCTCAATAAACACAGGTTGATAGAATAAATGACTTAATAATGAGTACATGAATAAACACAAGACCCAAATACACAACCTCATTACAATACACTTATGAATATAATCTTTACACAAATAATCCCAACAATACATACACTTATACACACTATGGCACAAGACACAGCGATTCACAAAATCACTCATACTCTGATACACTCACACACAGACATCTCAACACAGGGCATGACTCACTGGGACAAACAGGACACAAACATAAGACAATCTCATATGGAAACTCACTTACCTCCTGATACAGGTTAACGCACACTCATTTGCATGTCCATCCCTCCGCACATGGACACTCAGATACCAGCTAAGACATGTATTTGTAGGCACATGCATGCACGTGTGTGCTCACACAATGCCCTCACAGACCCATCCGTAGTCTTGCTGGTTCACATGTGCTCACTGGCCCTGCCCCAGCTGTGCCCAACACATAACCTCACCCACCTGCTTTGGCTACTTGGTCCACAGGTACACCCAGCTCCTGAGACATATAGCCCAGCACGGAGAAGATGGCAAAGCCAGCCAGGATGCTGGTGATGGCATTGCCCAGAGTGACGATGAAGGTGTCTCTGCCAGGAGAAGTCCAGGCACAGGCCAGGGTGAGCCAACCTTCCCTCAACCCACTAGGCCCTCCCTGCCCAGCCGCCCTCCTCCCTGCTTCAGTCCCCAGGATCTGGGATGCTGCAGGGCACTGACCTATAGATGTTCTGGTGAAACGTGTTGTATGAAGCAAAGGTGAGTAGTCCCCCAAAGCCCACACCCAGAGAGTAGAAGATCTGAAGAGCAGAGAAGAGGGTTGGGGTCAGAGTTCTGCTCCCTCTTCCCCCATGAGGTACACACTACTGTGGACAGGGCTCACCTGGCTGTCCAAGCCGAGAGTCAGAAGCATGAAGAAAAACAGGAAGGACCAGAAGGGCGACAGAGGCAGCATGGTCATGGCCTGCGGGTAGACAACAAAGGCCAGGCCGGGGCCTGGGCCAAGGGCACAGGGGGTCAGCAGCTTGCAGCATGTGGTGGGCCCTGATATACATACTCAGACACAAATGGTCGCTTACACCCACTTGGGCACACTCATTTAGCCAAACGTAAAGGTGCATGCTAAATGCACACTTCTGACACTCTGACTTCTGAGACTGAGGCTCGAGAAGTTGTAGGACCTAACTCCCAGGACACAGGCCAGCACTCTGTAGGTGCTCAATAAACACAGGTTGATAGAATAAATGACTTAATAATGAGTACATGAATAAACACAAGACCCAAATACACAACCTCATTACAATACACTTATGAATATAATCTTTACACAAATAATCCCAACAATACATACACTTATACACACTATGGCACAAGACACAGCGATTCACAAAATCACTCATACTCTGATACACTCACACACAGACATCTCAACACAGGGCATGACTCACTGGGACAAACAGGACACAAACATAAGACAATCTCATATGGAAACTCACTTACCTCCTGATACAGGTTAACGCACACTCATTTGCATGTCCATCCCTCCGCACATGGACACTCAGATACCAGCTAAGACATGTATTTGTAGGCACATGCATGCACGTGTGTGCTCACACAACACCCTCACAGACCCATCCGTAGTCTTGCTGGTTCACACGTGCTCACTGGCCCTGCCCCAGCTGTGCCCAACACATGACCTCACCCACCTGCTTTGGCTACTTGGTCCACAGGTACACCCAGCTCCTGAGACATATAGCCCAGCACAGAGAAGATGGCAAAGCCAGCCAGGATGCTGGTGATGGCATTGCCCAGAGTGACGATGAAGGTGTCTCTGCCAGGAGAAGTCCAGGCACAGGCCAGGGTGAGCCAACCTTCCCTCAACCCACTAGGCCCTCCCTGCCCAGCCGCCCTCCTCCCTGCTTCAGTCCCCAGGATCTGGGAGGCTGCAGGGCACTGACCTATAGATGTTCTGGTGAAATGTGTTGTATGAAGCAAAGGTGAGTAGTCCCCCAAAGCCCACACCCAGAGAGTAGAAGATCT